CACTCTCTCTCTCTCTCTCTCTCTCTTTCTTTCCGTCTCTCACTATCAAACATGCTATCGTGTCCACTCGCGTAAGGATGCAAGTGCCGAAGATTAGAAGTACATGTATTACTATTACTAGAGAGCTACACACAGATAAAAAGGAGAGCAAGTAATGACGATAGATGTTTGATAGAGTCACAGACTCATCGTTACAGTATTTCCTTTAAAGAAACCTGAGCGTTGTTTACAGAGTTTCCTCTCTCACGACGGGTCGTGTGAAACTGCCACTTACAGGTCCCTCTAATTCTTTACTCTGCTTCAATTTTTTTTCTTCTGTGTGTCAGTCTTTGTTCTTCCAGGCTTTAAATTGTCGCTCCTCTAGTAAACTGTCATAACCGAAAAATATCATCTTTTCAGGAGATAGTAAGAGAAAGAGCGAGAGAGAGAGAAAGAGCGAGAGAGAGAGAGAGAGAGAGAGAGAGAGACGGTTTTAATTTTTTGATGGTCATGATAGAAGAGCCAAACCCAAGGGTCTGTGTGCAGAATTTTTTGCACATTTGTATACTCTGGCAATACAAAGGAATTGGAATTTCTTTTCGTTGTCAAATTCATAGCATTTTGGAGATTTACGACATATTTGCAGCTTTAGCTACCCCACATGAAAAGCGTTGTACATCGAGTTAAATTAGTTTACAATTTACATCTTGAATAGTAACCATGGCGTGATGTTTTGTCAATGGAATTTTGCAGCTACTTAAATTTCGACATACGACATAAAATCCCTTAAAGATACAAAATAATGAGCAGTGACTCTTGTTAGAATAACATTTCCTTTGCTAGAACGTAATGGAAATCTGCAGTTACTTGTCATATGTCAGTATTCTGGTGCAATGATAGAAGTCACATACGTGAACCTACAACCAAATTTCTAAATGCCATATCTGGCGTTCTACGGCGAGTTGAAGGCCCCTAGGTTTTTTGGGGTTTTTGTGGGTTTTTTTACAGAAGGTGTGCTGTGGCTTCAAAACCTAATTTGGGGTTAAGTTTTATTTTTAAGTGAATTACATAAACTGCAGTTTGCCAGCGGTGCGACGTAATGAGCGTCATTGTTTGGGTGTTCTTCTTGTCTTTACGACAACACTCAAAACTCAAAACACTGCGGCTGGACAACAAAGTGACATTCAGTTGTTACCTCATCTTCATCGTCATCATCATCATCAGCTGCAGCAGCAGCAGCCTCATCATCATCATGATCATCATTCGTCCTCATCATCATTTTTCCTCATCATTATTTTTATTATTATTATTATTATTATTATTATTATTATTATTATTATTATTATTGTTGTTGTTGTTGTAATGATGATAGTTTTCCCGGAAATTTTTTTATGTGGTGGATTCACTAAGTGCACGAAGGACTGTGAAAATGTTCCTATTTTTTGCCCCTTTTTTGGGGAAGAAAAATACATGTAATAATTGTTATTTAATTTGTTTATTTTTAGGAATTTGACGCCCAAGAAGACGCCAAATTTCACAAGCAAGGGAAATCTCCAGCGTAAGTAGGCCCTGTGTTCGTGTTGGTGTGAATTTTGCTGCTGTTCATAGTTTGTTGAAAATATGGGACCTTTTTCATTGTGGCTATTTTGTTTGGTTCTTGTTTTTCTGGGGTTTATTTTTTATTTTTTAGTTTCATGATCTACTGAACGCAAAAGATTGTTGCAAAGGCGAATCGCTGTCAGTTTTAAAATTGCTTTGCGGATTTTTAAAAGGGTGCATGATTGTCTGGCGGACTTTTACTCTCAATTTACATTGCGATCTTTACTTTGTTCTTGGAATTAGGGGACTCTCGTGGCCAAGAGGTTAAGGTGTTCACCTCTCACTCAATGGGTCCCGGGTTCGAATTCGGAGAGCACAGGGAAATTTTTCTTCTATAAATGTGTCCCCTTTCACCTTTTTTCCTGCTCTCAAGCGATGTTCTGTCGTCTGCTGTCGTCTCCACTTTCTGCCCCTATCTCCTCACTTCCTTTGCCCCCTTTTCTGGGCTCCTGACTCTTTCTGTAGCCTTTATATTGCTACTCCTTGGCTCTTTTTTACTGCTGTCTTTTAGCCTCTCCCTTGATCTTATGGTAGGAAAGATGTGTACCTAGCCAGCGAAAACTCTCGGAGGTCCCGTGTGCAAGTTGCGCATGTTTAAGATCCCATGGTGGTCCAAGATCGACGAGTAGGCTTCGGCCGCTACCCGGGCGATTTTAAAAAAAATTGCTACCAACTGAAAATATTTAATGTGTCCCACGGGCTCATGTGGCCTTATGAAGTTGCGAGCGCCGTGAAACACTTACCTAGAAAAAAAATGTTCTTGAAACTGAAACGTTTATTGAGAAAAAACTGGCGTACTTAAATTATGTGTCGCCTGTTTGTTGTCCTAAGGTCTTATAAACTATAAACACATGTTACACAAAACTAAATCTCGAGTTTATTATCAACATCAATGTTTGCTCGTACTTCATTTGTTCGTAATAGTGTGAGGTATAAGTATGACATGTTTAGCTGTGACCGTCTGAATTGCTCAGTATCACATAATATGGCAGAGAGTCAAGTCTCCCCCCCCCCCACTCACACCGAAATGTTTATGTTGATAAAGGTAATATGGCACTTCTAACAATTCCTTTTCAACGCTCGAGCAAATCAAAATGTCTCTCTTTTTGTGTAGTTTTTAATATCATCGTTTTGAGTGTGTTTCGAGACTGTCAGATTCATCCTCTCGGGATTTATCTATTATATCTGGGCTCAAGAGAGTTAATGTGACTTATTCATCGAGAGCTCTCGTATTTGATAGCTGCCTCTTGTTGGTCCTGGAGCGTATCACATCGTTTAGAATCAGGAGTAAAAATATATTTTATATTCATGTATATATTTTTTTATTTGTAATGTGCTTTACACTCCCATTTACACGGTTTAAATCATTTCGGATAAAAATTCTCCCCTCGCGGGAATCGAACTCAGGTCTCTTGCGCGCAACGATGGAGTGCTTAACGGCTACACAACAGATGCCCGTGATTTGTTGTTGTTGTTTTTTTAATATTTGGTGTAATACGGCCTTGTTTTGTCCATGGCTGCTTGAACTACTGTTCTGGAAACAACGTTGTGTGAAAACCGCTA